GAGCCTTATTTACTAATCCAGCAGTTTAGTTGAAGTCATTAAAACGGAATGACGTGAGGAGATGCTGGTGATGCTGTGTTGTCCCTTCCAAAAATATGTAAATCCCTCAACTGATAGGAAGGGGAGAGAGAGCTTAGATGAGTAGAAGAGCCCGGCCTAAGCCAAAGTAATTGGAAATTAAATTGGGGGATTTCTCTCGAGTGGAAGTGACAGCCACGTGACAATCAAAGGCTGTATACCATAATGTAACCCACTCACGACAACGCCTCACGTACTCACCTCTAGCCCGGCCTCTGCCCTTCCTCGCTGTTGATGGCCAATAATTGCTTTATCATAGCGAAACTCACTGGCAGGGAATATCATTTTACCATTAATAGAGAGAGAGAGAAAGGGAAACAGAATTTCATGCTGGAATGGAAAACTATGGAATAACATCTATAGAAATGCTATAATAGGCATGGAAAAGATTGTTTTGCCGGCTGGGCTGGGCTGGTCTGGTCTGGTTATGTTATGTGTGGCGCAGAGTAATTTTAATAGGTCATCATATTAAGGGATTCCCGACGACAACGATTCGTTTGCTGTTCCCCAGTTATGGTTATAGTTGTTATTGCAAGGCAATGGAGCTCGGCTCGACTTGTGTGTGTGTGTATCGATTTCATGGCAACAGGGATGCTGTGGGTCCCACTGCACCCCACCCACTCTTCCCTCCCCATTTCACCGGCTTGGTTATTGGCCATTTGCCCACGCGATGACATGTGCGTTTAATTGCGTTTTACTTATTTGACACAAATTAATATGGCACTCGCGCAGGCATTTGGTCTCCCACCCCTTTTCTCATAAGTATGCTATATAATTTTGCCCCGAACTCGATTCTCTCTCTCTCTCTTGGCCAATTAAATATTTCTGCAACACTAAGTTGCGACTGCTCGAAATGGCCAGAACACAACTTTGAGTTTGAGCAGGGCCAGCGGCAAGAAGCAAACCCTTGAAGTGAGAGAAGAAAATCTTTTAAAGTTCTCCCTCTGTGTGTTTGTGTGAGTGGATGCAACCGCACCATAAATCAAATTATGACGACCTGACGAGGAGCGGAAATCATGACCGAAATGTTATTAAGTGCAGCCAAGGGACCCAGAGCTCCATCTTGAACGCAAAAGCAGCTTGGGCTTGAGCAGTCCAGAGAAACCCTTGACCACTTTCGACTCGCAAGTTTGTTTGAGTATTTTACGTTATTAATATTAATATTATTACAAGAGACGACACAAGTTTTTGTGTGGCCCAGGCAGGCGCAGGCTGGCAGGCCGTGTGTGTACACATAATTATGCAATTTAATGAGTTTTCTCTTTGCTGTCGCAGCCCCCGGGCTACTCTACCTTTGCAGAGAGACACACACACACACACACACAGAGCTCCACAACTCCAGCACCACCCCCTTGATAGGACAGCAGCTGCACATGTGCATAATTAATTTTAAAAATTAATTTTACATCAAGGAGTTGCCGGATGTGCGCCAATGTTTCAAAGGCTTTAAGCTTATCTCTTGGGATTGCTATAATAATGCTCTCTTTTTAACCAAAACCATTTATAAAATCCATAATAAAAACCTAGAAAATGGCTAGAATCTCAGTTCTGAACAGAAAATATTCTTCAGAGATGCGAAAAAAAATCGACCTGCAGAGTCAAGGTGAGCTGTGTAACAAAAATGTTGTTGAAGGCAGCAGATGACTGCGACGACTGGGAGGAGGGTGATGATGCGGATGGTGGCTGGTGATGATGATGGTGCGGTTGACTTTGCCACAACAACGCTGCCACCGACGACAACTTGACATGGGAGCTAGCTGAGGCTGAGGCTGAGACTGAGACTGAAACCGAGGCTGGTGACTAGAAAAGACAGGGGCGAAAGCCTCCTCCGTCTGCCGCTGATGTTTGTTTTTTGAGGCCCTGCCAGCCAGTCAGCCTCCCAGCCAGCCTCTCTTCTCGCATTTTCCCTGGGCTGCCATAAACGGAACGAAAACTCCTCACGACAGCGATGAAATTGACGTATAAAGTCAACGGCGTCAACAAAAGTCGTACCTCCTCCTCTTCAGGAGAAGGGATTCTCCATTTCTTCATCTCATCGCCGAGCACATGACAGCACTTTTGAGGCATGTGTGTGTCACGTTCAGCATTTAGCATTTATTGTGTCTGTGTATTTGTTTTTTTCTCCCTTATTTCTTTTTTTTTTTTTTTTTTTTTTGTATTTTTATTTGTGGTGGGGAATGCCCAAAATTGAATTGAAAAAGTTGGCAAAAGGTGCGCCTGCCTCTGCCCGCCTAGGAGAAATCTTCCGGGTATGGTTGCCCCAAAGTAGACTACAGTTGTTGGTTGGTATTTCCTTTTATTAAACCATAACTTGCTGTCCTGCTCTGGCAGAAATTTTGATTGAAACGAAACGCCAGAGAGTAGTGACTGTGCTGAGTATGGAAATGAGTTTGGAAACGAACGAACGAAGAGCTGATGATGTTCAGGGTTACTCCCATTTGCCAACTTTGATGAAGTTGCCAAAGGAAAACAGAAACAGCAGCAGAAGGATGAGTGAAAATTCTTTTGTGATTTGTGGCATTGTCTTTTCTCTGGCTTGCAGGAAATTAGAAATCTTTGTGAACACACACACTCTGCTCCCCTGTGTGTGTGTGTGTGTCTGCGTGTGGAAAGCCAAGCAAGAAAATTAGAAAGCAAACTGGTTTTTCTGCCATTACAGACATTGGCATTTATATGTCGAGTTAATTAAAAGAAAACTAGTTATGCTAGTACCTCATTCACTCCAACTCCACTCCATCTCCATCTTCATCTTCAGCTAGAAAAAGTCATTAAAAACTAAGGATGAAGTCAGAGTCAGAGTCGAAGCCACAGTTTGTTCGTCAGACAGTGCGTATGATTGATAATGAGTTGAGAGAGACGAAGCAGTGGGAGAGGAGGAAGGAGCTGCCGAGACATCTTCATTTTTCTTCAGCTCATCCTGTCTGGGCAATGCAAAGAATGCACATTTCTTGCAACGGAACTTATTATTTCATTGCACTTGCCTCGGACACTTTCCTGCCACATTCTCCCCTGGAATCCCAGCCCCCATTTTCAACCCATCTCCATCCCCACACCATTTCATTCCATTCCATTGTGTGTGGCCACAGCTTCCAGAGCGGCTGTCATTGTTGTCCTGCCAGCTCCTGCTGGGCTTCAGTTCTTGCTCCTGCTCCAGCACCTTCTCCTCTGACTGCGACTGCGACTGCGGTATTCCCCGGTGTGCCACCTTAAGACATCGCTGCGGGCGTTCCCCCGTGCCGAGCAATAGATATTAACATGGCTTTGGCGGTCGGAGTTGGAGTGGAAGGAGGGGAGGGAGAGGCCAGGATAGGTATCAACTTCTCCCTACTCAGCCAGTGACTGGCTTCCCAGGGTGGCTCCCATTGTCATACCTGTAGGTGCCATTTACATATTGCCTGGCAAAAGTGGTCTCGGTGGAGTAAAGGACAACGGGGCGATATTCATGCGAGCCGGAATTGTAATTTCTGATTTACTTTCATCTTTGATGCGGGCGGCTCGCTGAGAGATCCTTCAAAGGGTTCTAGCGGAAATGTAAATCCAGCGTTTAGGCATGTTTAAGTTGAAATAAATTTGATTCGAGTCTCCTGACAATAGATCAGAGTTTTCTTCTAAGCTTTATGAAATATTATAATACTTTCTAGGAATCTAGAAACAAATTTAAGTCTTCCCAGAACCCTTTATAAGTAGGTTTTATTGATTATTGAATGGGTATATATGTAATGATGCAGTAAAGGATAATAATAAAGGGCTTTTTCAATTGAAATTCTACTCTTTAAAAACCTTTAATACTATAATAATACTTGTTTTACTATTATTTTATCCTTCCTGAAAAATCATAACCTTTAACCGACTTTCCTTTGGTCATTTAAATTAGGCATGGCCATGCTTGGTTCAGCTTTCATATGTATTTATTCTATTTTCTATTTTTTTTTTTTTTTCCCCTCCACTATAGTTATCCTGTCGAATGTTAAGTGCGGCAGACTCGTACAAATTATGCGCATTTTTTTCGGGGCAGAACGTACAGAAGAGGACGTTGAGAGCTAAAAGCTCCGGAGTTGTATTCCTCGCGGTCTCTGGCTTTTTCTGTCTAGGTGAGCTGAGCCAGCGTTACATGGGGAATTAGTGCGCATAATTTCATAAGCAAGTCGGCTGCGAGGACCGAGTTCCATGGAGCTGCTGGGAAATGGGAAATGACAGGAAGCTTTTCGCAGTCATCGCGTTGGTCGGTCGCTGCGCAAATATTTTTTGTGGGCCCCCGGGAATGAATGTCTGCTGCCGATGCTGCCGGCAACATTTGTACATATCCCGTACACATATGCCTATGTACAGCGAATACATCGAGTTATGCTGGGAATTTCTTGAAAATGGAGGCTGGGATGGATGGAGGCAGCACGCGGGGGGATGTGTGTATCGGGGATATCTGTACTAAATTGCACATGAAGTGATTTCGAGCGTAAGAAATGCCCCAACAGGAGTACATCAATATTATATATACAGAAATATATATGTATATACGCAGTACGTTTGGAATATGCAGAAAAACTTGGCGCAGGTTCAAAAAAAAAAAAAATAAATTAAGGAGGAGGAAAAATTTCATATCAAAATTACAAACAGGCCCAGGACAGGGGCCTGCAACTCTCTGCCAGAAAAATGTGAATGTGGATGGGATGATGGATGAACGAGGCTGGTCTGAGGACCCCTTGTGTCCCTCATTGTTGTTGCATTGCCAAAAGTGCCGGAAGTCGTGAACTCTGTATGGGAACGTGATTAAATGCATTGCCGGCATTTTGTGCATAAAACTAATTTGCCTAATTTCGTTATTTATTGGCCAGAAATGGCAAATGAAATTTCTAAAACGATTTATGTATGTTCTTCGACACAGTAGTAATTATTTATTTCAATTTATGTCTCTCTCGTTGCAGCCCAAAAAAATATACATCAGCTAAGCAACAGTATTCTTGCTCAACAATAAATTTACGAAAGCTCTGAAGACAAACAAAAGATAAAAAAAAAATACATACACAAGGAATATTTTCATAGCCGTGATTATTTGTTGCATTTTATAAAAGAAAAATACAAGAGGAGTAAAGAGAAAATAACAACACACTGAAGATACAAGGCGGCCAGAAGAACGCAGCGAGCTTAAGCCAACAACGTAGTACGACTAGCAAAAGACACCACCAATTTAGTTTCGATCTAGATACATACAAGCAAAGTAGCCAAAATCTCTATATATATATGTATAGTATATGTATCGATCATCTATGATTGGTATATAGCAAAGGATATATATATATATTTACAAGCCCCGCAACATAAACAAACGCAAGGTGTGCCGTGCCCCCCTCACACATACTCAAAAGACAGAACAGAAGAGATACTGCTGAGATACTGACCGATCTCTCTCTGAGCCCGGTCACATCCCAGATACATTTTCATCTCAACCGCGTTAACACAAAGGCAGCAAAATAGATACCATGGAAGACAATAACACGAGCAGCAGTGCGGGCGGTGCGTCCATTAAACACGAGGATCCATCGGTGACACTCACAATAAGGCTGATTATGCAAGGAAAGGTAAGTTGTATGAAAACTATAAAATCAATTAGAATTTAAGACTTCTAAAACTTGCCTAATTTAATTTTTGAGAATAATTAGATTAATTTTATAAATTTTGGGGGGTGGTTGAATTCAAACTTAAGAATTTTAGGTGCATTTCTTACAAGAAGTTCATAGAAAAACGTTTTATAAATTAAATATTATACAAATTTTAATAGAATTTTAATATCTGAAGCCATACTTCACCAACTTAGTCAAACTGAAAATTCCCTAGATTTTCTCTCTCGCTTCCCTGGCCAAAAGAGATATCCTTTATTTTAATAGTGCTTGAAAAGTGTCACTGCCAGAGATAGGGGATAATTTCTTTGAACGTTGAACAGACATATCTGATTGAAAACAATCCCTAAGAGTCACTCTAACGCAGTGACATCGACCGACCCCAAAGTGGGCTATTCAACTCGCATTTCCGACTCCACCCACACCCGCTTTTCGACTGCAAATGTCTATTAAAATATGAACGCTTTTGTGCACACCATTGACTTCTGTCATCTTAAATATTTATAGACCTCTTTTTCAATTCGCACAAAAATCAATAAGGCGGAGAGACGGGCAGAGAGCGCCGAGTATGGGGCAAACAAACAACAAAAGGCAACCTGGGCCAGAGGAGCAAACAATAACGTAAAAAATTATAAATTAACCCGTGCATTTTGTATGCAAATTAAAATTAAATACGCGCCACGTCACACATTATGCCATCGCAATTTAAGGTAAATTAAAGAGGAGCACGGGGAGAGAGTCAGTACCAGAGAAATATATACATACGTTCGTAGAGATATAAATACAAGGCCATAAAAAGGAGGAGACGTAGTAAGGCATCGGCTATTAAACAATCATTACGGCTCCCAGATATGAGTAATAAAAAGCAAAAGGCAAATAAAATACATCAATTTATAAATTGTTTTCATTGCGCACAACAACAACAACAAAATGCAAACGAGCACACATACATTATGTGCAAATGAATACATATAATATGGTGTGTGTAGGTAGGATGTAGGATCGTAGGAATTTATATCGTTGACAAAATAGCCTGCAGAGCCAACGAGTTAAACCACTCGGAAAAAAACAGATGACAAGTAGAAAAAAATTAAATATTAAAATATATATATTAACCGCAAATCGGGGCCAAGAGCGGTTTAATCAAGGGAAATGTTTGCAATTTCCCAATATAAATACCCCGCGGGGATTCTTTTTTCTATAATAGAGAGTTGAAGCAGTAAAAACAGAAATATTAAATAAAATTGATTTTAAATCAGGTGATAATAGTTTTCATTACGTTTTCATAGGATTTTTTATAATATTTATTGAATATCAACATGCATTTTTTTGCTTAGTTGGTAGATGGAAATAAAATTGTACTTTATTGTTTTCTAGATTTCAAATTGTGGTGTATTTATATTAAAGCTGGTATTTGTAAAAAAATTATTCCAAACTCGACACCACTTAGAGTGTGCAGATGATGCCACTTTACTCAGGTCTCGGGTCTCCATTATAACCAAAAAACCAAAATGATAAGCCAACAAAAGATATTGTTTGCCATCAAACTGCAGCAGCAGCTTCTTTGCCGTGAGCCAGTGATTCATGGCAGTCGCCGAACTACTCAAGATAAAAGCGGCATTAAGCAAAGAGCTAGAAAAACCGACACTAAATAGCTGCTTATTTATTTAATAACAGTCAACAGCCATTAAAAACTATTATTCAACGACATTAGCCAGCCAGCCAGAAAAGGCTGTCACGCAAATCCATAGTGTCGGCGAATGTTGTTGTTTCTGTGTTGAGTTTTTTGAGTTAAGATGCGATGAGAGGTTTGTGCCACTCGAGAGATCTTGGCCAGAAGCTGGGAGAAGGCTGAGACGGAGGCAGCAAACGGGGTCCCGCTCCCCCGAGCACGTGTTGAGCGCCGGCAAAGCTGTCATTTATCTCTTTAGCCTTATTCCCCACACAACCAAAAAAAAAAGCTGATATTCAGCTTTGGATTTTGCCCAGGCATCGATTTAATTATAAATTCGGCCGTTGTTGGATTTTATTTTTATACCCGGACCCGTGCCCGGACCCGTACTCGTACTCGTACCCTTACACCCATCCTCCTCTCCTGTGTAGCCTGTGCTGCAATTGAAAGGCAGCGACAGGTGCAGATAAGGCGACAGTGCGACCAGTGCAATGGGGGGCACTTTACACGATGTGTAGCTGAAAATTGGCAAAAAGGCCAAAAATGTGTTTAGACGCGACAATTTATGGCAGAAACGGCAGAGCAGATCCCAGCCAGACAAAGAAAGCGAATTAAAGCCAAAACAGCTGTCAAAGGGGGGGAAGAGAGGGTGGAAATCCGGGCTACCTGGTCGATCCATCTCTCATCTCCCTTCACCGATCTCCGTAGATCTCATGAATAATTGCGCACTTTTTGGCTTTTACGCAATCTAAAGCACTGGGAGAGAGAGAGAGAAATAAATATTTTGTAAATGTAAATTCTGCACATTTTCTGAGATTTTCTTTATTTTTTTTTTGCCCCTCTCTCTGCTGCTAGCAAACACAAGGACTCGGGCAATAAATTCCCAAGACACTTTTGTGCGGCGCCGACAGACTAAGGCTGTCGTTTTGTTGTTGTCAGTCTCTTGATCGATAGTTATAGATTAGCATGATTTATGCGATTTTTTCAACTGCCGCGCAGATGTGAATAAATTTGAAGCGCAATGCAAATCAAGTGGCGAAAAAGGCAGAAAAAAAATAGGAAGGAGAAAAAGCACCGACAGCCGCAAATAAACAGCGATATAATGTCAACTGAGTTGGCATTAAATTGATTTGAACACGAGTCTAGGCGACACATTCGTCTGATATTGTTTAATTGTGCTTAAAAAAGAGGGGTAAGGAATTTGTGGTAGGTTGAGGGGGAATATAGGGAGATTAAGGGTTGGGATAGGTTGGAAAATAATAAAAAATAAAGCTATAAATCATATATTAAATAGGATGTGAAATTTCCTTAGTATAGCATATTAAACTTACAAATATTTATATAAATTTAATCACAAGAAAGCCATTAAGAAATGTTTTAAAACCATAAAGAAAGCTATAAATCATATATTAAATAGGCTGTGAACATACGTTAGTATACAATTATTTAAATAAATTAAACCACAAGAAAGCCATTAAAAAATGTTTTAAAACTTGTTCTTCATTTTCTCAATTTTATTAACTCAATTTAAAGCTTCATAATTTATCCATCTCCTCATCGCATAAATCTCTTATAAACCTCCCATAAATGCAATTTATTTATTAATGAGCAAATGGAATAAATGTTTATTAGCAGAGGTAGATAACATATATCAGACCTTATAGACAAAGAAGCAATTATAACAAGCCAGAAGGCAATCGTGTGGCGCCCTTTGGCTGGGAGTAGAGCAAGGCCATTAGCACCGCCATAGTTGCCATTGTTATTCGAGTATTTTTGATATTTTCCTGCGTCTCTAATTAACTTTGGCTTATTATTAGTTTCATGCAGAAAGTCACAGTCGGTCTCTGGGTCTGAGTCAGAGTCAGAGTCACAGTTGCAGTTGCAGTTGCATTTGCAGTCGCGTCCAAAGTCGTGATGCAGTTAATTAATTTATGAAAACAAAAAAATGAAAACGGGAAACGCGAGGAAAATAAGCAACAACTACTCACTCTGCCATGCAATCGAGCGACAGAGTGTGGAAAAATAAAAAAATAGATACGAAGAAACAAAAACTAAACACCTTTTTCTTTTGTTTCGGTGTGCCCTGGGCTTTGGGCTTTTGTGTTTTTCTATTCACCTTTTTATTTCTTGGCAGCCATCCGCAAATTGCATAGAAAAGAAACGAAAATGTGGGTTGCTCTCTCGCGTCTAGAATTGCCAGGGCAATCCGCGTCGGTAGACATAGATATTTGCAGTTGTTGTTCTTATTTTTGAATCATGCATTTTTAATTAGTGAAATTGCACGAAGTCGACGACGACGGACGGCACCTTTATGCGAATTTTCATTGCAGTCTGCCACATTTCCCGAGCTCTTGTCTAATTTTAATTAACTCTTTTTTGAAAGAACCTAAACATATACATAGTTGTGTAATCATGATGATATCTGTTTAATGGTTTTTAAAGATTGATAATACATAAGGGGAATATTCTTATAAATTCCTGTTTAAATGAAAAATTTATCTGTAGGCATTGTGAATTCCTTATTTTGATATAATCAAGCGTAAGGCCTTTATAAACTAAATAAGACTATAAAAAATCTTTCTTTTCCTTAAAATTTTATAGTATTTCTTTATTCTTTTTGCCTTCCAATTTCAAATATTTAAACTGTTGACTTGAACTAGCAGCAGCTTCCGAATTTTCCCCCAATGCCTGCAGGAGACATTTCCCATTCGTCCGTGCGTTGTTTTCGTTATTTAATCAAATTAAAAATGTTGCACTTGCTGCGTGGCCTGGCATGGCCCTGGTCCTGCATCTGGCCCTGGCAAATTGTAAATAATTTAACTGTACATTTTTTTTTTTTTTTGCGTTTTGCTGCCAGAAACAGCAACAACATGCTGAAATTCCCAAAAAAAAAGAAGAAAATATACGTTGCAGGGCGACAAATGCGTTGCATGATTTATTGTAAAGAGGTGTAGGAGAGGGAGAGAGGGGGGAGCAGCACATGTGTGCCACAGCAGGCCATATGTGTACGTATGTTCATACCTTCCCCCTACTTCTCCTGGCCGACCCCCTTTGTCACATTGCATTTTCCAACATTTGTTGCAAGTTTTTCTTGCATTTTTCCTTTGCCATGCCAGCTCCCATAAATGGTTCTCACGGTTTTGCAATTGCTGTCAGAGATTGTTTGCCGCTGATGTTGCTGTGGCCGTTGCTTGTTGGTTGCTGCTGCTGCTGCTGTTTTCTTTTGTATCTGCAATTTATTTATTTTTGTACAAATTTTCAACGCCGGCTCTCTTACTTGAAAAACCAAAATTCACAAAGAGCTTAAAAGGGGAAAAACATGAAACAAGTCATGCTGCCGCTGCCGCTGCTGCTGTCGTTGCTGCTGCTGCTTTGGGTTGTTGTCTAAGCTAAAAGCCAAGTTTGTTTTCTTTTCTCTTTTCACCGTCTTTACTGTCTGCTGCTCCACTAACATCAAAACCTCTCTTTTTTTTTATTTTTCCCCTCATCTTCCCTTCAAGTCAACGCAATGAAACTCAGCTTCAGCTTTAGCCTTTATTGTGCCCCACAATTAGCGTTGTTCATTCTTTGGACTTCAACTTTAATGCGTTTTCTGTTATTGTCTGTGCCTGGCCTCCCCCTGGTCTCCAATGGCCATTGTTATTTGTCATAATCTTTGGAGCAGTCCATGTTTCCATGTTCCATCTTATGGTGATAAATGGAACTAGCCAAAATTTTTGCGCTTGGCCGGAGATTGTGTGGGAAAATACAAAAGATGTGCAAAAGCCATTAGAGAGTTATCATGTGGTACTCGAAAATATTACTCTGCAAATGGGGAAGATTGCTCTATATATCAGGATAAAACCAACAAAGAATAAGTTGTTGAATTATAGAGAGATTAAGTTTTGCGGAAAAGTCTTTTTTGTTGTTTGTTTTTAAAAAGGAAAGATAATCAAGAATGTATAAAAATAGTTTGAAAGAAAGCTGGAGCAGGTTTTTAATTAAAAACAGATTTTAATACTAGAATATTTAAAGCTAAAAGGATAAAAAGCTCTTTCTAACTTAAATCTCCTCACATCTGTAACCCTGTTATTTAATCCTTACATTTACGCGTAGTTCTCTGAAACATCATCACTGTTAACTGGCAACCAACAGATTTGCAATAATCCTCCAACTCCAAAACAACAACAAATTCCATTAAAGGGAGCAAAACCTTCTATTCCCTGACCACAAAAGGGAATTCTTGCATTATGAAAGAGCAGAGCTGCCTGTGCCTCTGCTGAATGTCAACTTTTCCTATGCATATTTAACACAAAATAAAGGGAAGCAATTCAATCCTATTCCAACCTATACCACATTCAATTCGATCCGAATTGTGATGTTAACTGAAAACATTCAACACACACACAACACACCACACAGACTGGGCAAAAATGTGCCGGCTCGACCGCAAAGTGATTTTTGCATACGAAAATTGCACGCATGTGAAAATCGGAAAATGCGAAAATGCCAAATGCGCTTGTGTGTTCGTTCATTGTTGTCGGAGTTGTACGCCGGAATGCTGGGAATTTAATTGCAGGACAGGGAGAGGGAGATCAGCGAACAGCAGTGGGGGGGATTATAGAGAAGGAGCCGACTCGTCGAGGGTCAAAATGGGCGAGGAATCAATGCAATCAAGTGAAAGTCCCGAAAATTCGGGGAACAGCGGGTGTCCAGTGATGTCCGGCAGATCCGATTTATGCAAATTGCGCAAACTTCTGAGCGGAACTGGCTTGCAATCACACAAGGGGATAATTGAATGGAAAGCGGTGCGGGTGGCCAGGGGTAGCGCGGCTTTTGGCCACATTATTAATGATGATGATGGGGCCCGAGACCGTCGTGGCTAAGGCGCTGATGACCAGCCATCAACGTGAATGGTTATGAGGGACTTCTAGGCCACCGTCGCGCACTTAGATGCTGATATAGATACAGATACAAATACTGAGATACGCAGATACGCAGATACACTTTACAGCCACGAATCTTGTCCCATAAATTACACACAGGCCACCGAGTAGGCAGACAGGCGTAAAAACGCATCTGAGTTCGGGTCGCTGGCGTCCAACGATAATTACGCCAATAATTATGCCAATTCGGTCTGACATTTGTGTACAATAAATATCTATGCCTGCGAATAAATTCAAGTAGTTGTTGTGTCGATGGGGGGCATAAATATTACCCCGAAGAGTGGCCAAGATGCAAACGGCGCATAAAAATCCGGATAATGCCAAGGAGGGGCGCGCGAGGACACCAGAGTTTTCCCCTCTCTCGTACTCACACATTGTTTTGCCCAGTTTGCATTTTGTCTGGCAAACTGCCCGTCGCCGCCGCCCCAAAAGATGTATAGTATTAGTTGGGTTTTTTGGGTGCGCTTGTTTTCGGCGGCCCACCCTCCCCCCTTTGTCACAATGGATTGCTGCACTTTGGATTTGTGAAGGTTGTTCGCTATGGTTTATGGCAAACAAATTGAATGGCTGCAAGTGGCAACATTTTAGCATTGGCAAAATAAAATGTTTCTGAATCCCAAATGGGAGTAGAAAAACATTTTAAATGGAAATTATCAAGAGACTTTAAATAAATAGAGGTGGGAGCAATTTATTTCTATATAAATTACCAACAATACTGTATATTCTATAGGTACAATTCCCCTAATAAATGGTGTATATATATTTTAAATGCCAAAATATATAATATATACTATTAAGCAGTGTAGTGTAATATATTCCGCTTTATTATAAATTAATTTATAAATATATCAAGAAACAGTTGGGTTTCATGGCTGACTTAGGGGGTCTTAGCTGGCCGATTTAATCCACATTAATCAAGACGGGAGTATTTCACACAAGACAAGCAGAATTCTTTTAAAAAATATATACACAGATATATAAAGAAACTAAATTTCCCTGATTTTATAACAGTTTAGAGGCTGAATCCGTACATGGAAATTGTTCTATAAAAGTCCTGCTACAATTTATGCTTTAAATAGCTTTAAAAAATAGCTAAAAAATACTTTATATTGCTTTAACCTATCCTTAAAAGTTATAATTGTTTCTTTTATTATTTTCGTTAATTTTAAATGCATCAGCATCTATTTTTATAACAATATAAATGCATCAGGAGTGAAATAAAAGCATTGAGCTTTATTCCGGTGATGGATGAAACAGTTGCTTATTAAAAATGATTGATATATTAATTACCCACGTGGCTGTGGGGATTTAAAACCATTTCTGTTCAGAAGCCAGCTGAAATTTCCTCCTCTCGACAGAGGTTTTTCCTTTCTTTTTTGTTGGAACCCAGGAATGGCTGCGGCAGTGCTGATATTTACAATCAATTAAAACGCGTAAAACGCGCTGGCCGCAAATTTCATTACGTGCGACAGTGTCCCAGAGTCGACAGACGGACGTTGGACGACGGACGACTGACTGTGAAAGGGAAATGGGTTTGGGTACGAGTTTGGGATTGGGTTTTCTGGTTGCCACTGGGGAGGGGGAGTGTGAATTGCTTTTTGTGGCAATTAAATATGCAAAAGTAGTTACACACGCACACACCACCCGCCGCCTCGTGTGTGTGTGTATATGCTCCGGCATAATATCACTTAATATTTAATCAAATTTGTGCTTCGTCGGTGACAGGCGACGGTGGCGGAAAACACTGGCATAAAGTGTTTTCAATGTCCGGACTGTTGATAGCCTCGGGGCGGGAGGCAAGAATATACATCTTAAGAGCATTTAAAAGTTACTTTACAACATGTTTTCCAACTCGAATACATATTTCATCTCCTCTTCCTTTCTCTCTTGTGTCTTTGCAGGAAGTGGGTAGTATTATTGGTAAAAAGGGTGAAATTGTCAACAGATTTCGTGAAGAGGTAAGTTTGGCCGTATACTCAAAGTCCCTGCTAAGCAACCTAAGCTAATCCCTCCAATTTCTTTTGCAGTCTGGTGCCAAAATCAACATTTCGGATGGCTCATGCCCGGAGCGCATTGTGACTGTGTCTGGTACAACTAATGCAATCTTCTCGGCATTTACGCTCATTACAAAGAAGTTCGAAGAGGTATGTGTGCGGTACAAGTGGCAATTACAATAGAACCCCCATCACCCCCCCAATATCCAGTTCACATTACTAACTTCTGACCCGTTGCAGTGGTGCTCGCAGTTCAATGATGTAGGCAAAGTTGGCAAAACTCAAATACCCATTCGATTGATTGTGCCCGCCAGTCAATGTGGATCGTTAATTGGTAAGTTTTAACTCGTATGATCTTGGATCAGCACTAAAGCCATTATTTATACGTTCGAACCCGGTTCTACAAAGGCAAGAGTGGCTCAAAAATCAAGGAAATTCGACAGACCACCGGCTGCTCCATTCAAGTGGCCAGTGAAATGCTGCCCAACTCCACAGAGCGGGCGGTTACCTTGAGCGGCAGTGCCGAGCAGATCACCCAGTGCATCTATCAGATATGTCTTGTCATGTTGGAGGTAAGTCTATCATAAAAGAAGTACAGTCCTTTTAAAAGGCACCTTGTATTATATTAATTAGGCTTAAAGAAGGCTTTAAATTGGCTTGACTTTGCTTCGATCTTCGATTTACTTACCAGTATTTCGTTTTCCACAGTCCCCGCCACGCGGTGCTACCATCCCGTACCGACCAAAACCGCAGGTGACTGGTCCCGTCATCCTGGCCAATGGACAGGCCTTCACCATTCAAGGAAATTATGCAGTGCCCACACAAGAGGTATGTATGATGATACACATTTGAATGTGTTTTCACCGAAAAAAATAAAACAGGCTAACGTGTTGTTAAGATCAGTGAACAGTGTTGTGTACTCTATTGCCAGCCACTGCAGCTATATATATCTCTCTCTCTCTCGCTCTCTGTCTCTATCTTAACCGACCCCACATGTCCACATGTCCAGCTAAACAATTTTGTATCTCTTTGGTTTCGCCCCGATCCAGTCCAACTATCTTTTTGGTTATTGCGCGTCTTCACTTTCTGTTTTGCCTCTTAATATCTCTTTAGTTTAAATGACCATAATCTTTCTCTATCTCTATATACATATTTCTCTGTCTATTTCTCTATATTGTGTTTCTGCCGATAATCCAGATCCAGATCCAAATAATTCCCATTGCTCGTCTCTATGGCACCCAATTATTATTTGCAACACCGTCCACGAGTCCCTCTTCCCACCTTTCTCCGTAAATTCTCTACTTGGAGACCCCAGAAGCTATTGTCCAGAGAAGACCTTTCCAAGATTTGTGAACCGTATTGATTTTTTTTCTTAACCCAACCTGAAAATTCCGTTACCGATACCGATTACCGATACCGTTCCGATACCGCCACCCACTCGTCGTACCCTTGAGAATCATCTCTTTTCAAGTCCAAATGGTGACCCCGATCAGTGAACTAATGTGTTAACCAAAACTTTACAGCCATCGAATCGCCGATAACGATAACGATAATAATTTAACAAAACAATTGTAAAATATACTTTAAATATGTATTTTTGTTTTGCTTTTAGTTTCTTTTGCACTCTCTTCTCTCAGGTTAAGAGCGTGTGGCTGCAAGGAGAGTGCGTGAACGCGCGGTCTCGCCCTCTCTCTGTCTGACTATCGGTCTGCTGCGGGCAGCATCTGTATCTGTCTCAGTCCCGCTGCGAGTCTCCGGGAATCTTCGAGAATCTGCGAGACGAAAAATCGCAAGTCCCGACCGAGAATCCTTGTATTCTCCGGCTCTGGGAAGAGTGTTCAAGGCGTGGCGAGGCGAGGCGAGTGTGAGTTCGTGTGAAAGAAGGACAAATGGGGACTAGAACTCTTGATCTTCCCCGCTCTCTCACTCACTTTCTCCACTCTCTACTCTCCACTCTCTCCGCTCAGTCTCTCTGTGTCTCTAAGTTCTGTTCTGAAGAGGGCTCGCTGGCAGCGTGTGTGGAGAAGTATGTTCAAACTACACTAGTCCCAACATCTCAACTATTTCTACTTCCAAAAACCAAACCATTTACATACACAAATCCATCATACATCAATTTGTATCCAAATCCAGAGTAAAAAACACGTATTAATCGAATAATACCACCCATTTATACACATGACAAAGTACAACAGAAAATTAAATTCCTTTTTTGAGCGCCAGAAAAACTAATATAAGGTATACATATAAATATTTTGCCAAAATCCAGCCACTTGTCTCACTCTAAATATCAATATTTATCACATCCTGCCTTCTATATCTACATATACGTATAACTATCTTGATTTTTTTGTGTAGTACAGCCGTCGCCAATCATTCAAATTGTTTAGTTCTCTGTAAAAATCCTATAAAAAAAATAAAACAGCGAGACAGCCAAGCTCACAACCACACAATATCCACAACAACATTAAGCTGACATTTTCAGATGAGTTTCTACAACAAACAATAGCAACAACGACAAATGCAATTAGAAAACTACATACATACAACATAGGCATACTGTTCTAAAAACCATCCTGCCCGAGCCCTCACATCTCTCACACACAAAACTATCTCTCTCTATCTCTCTCCGTATCAATAAATATTGTTTATAACTCTGTTAAAAACCCCAAACCAAAATTGAATTTTCTGCTCCACAAAACAACAGGAAACTAAAAACTAAAAAAACAAATGACAACAACATAAGCCAAAAACAAACAACAAACAAGATTCTATTCAATCCAATTCAATTCAGAACTCTCGGTACAGTACAGTACAGCACAGTACAGTCCGGCACGTACAGCAAGGTACCAACAGCAGCACACAGTAAAGTTCAGTTCAGTTTCAGTTCAGTTCTGTTTCTCTCCGCCCCTTCAGAGCCCCCCTCGCCAGCCATTGCCCCCCGAAAACGAAAAATAATAAAAGTTTCTCAAAACTAAAAACAGACAAAGTTCTTGTTGTCGTCGCATCAAATTCAATTAATGTCCAGAGAAATGTAATAAATCAAAAACTAGTTGTACCATCCATTTGCGATCTCTCTATCTCTCTCTCTCTGTCTGTCTTCCACAAATCGCTCGCTCTCTCACTCTAAGTCTCCTCCTGGTCCTGGTCCCGGTCCTGGTCCTGGTCCCGGTCATGGTCCTGGTTATTGTCGGTGTTGGTTACGTTTCGGCGTGTAGTTTGTGAATTCCCACCACAGTTGGGTACAGTTATTAGTGGTACTCACAGGCAACTGTACCTCCTGTTCCTGCGCATTCTTAGAGTCAGTCCCCTCCGTCCCCATGATGGTGTCTGTTCGTTGGAAGCCCCTTTGAATCCTTGGACCCCCCGCTAGTCTTCTCACTCTCACGTCTCCCTCCTTCTCCACCAGCGCCTCTGTCTCGGTTCCGCCTCTTAGTTGTCATCATAATTTTTGTTGTTATATCCACCACCCCCCTCCGATATATATCATTTTACTCTCTGTTCTGCGTCTGATCCCCCGCCAGTATCCACACCAGAAACTCGCACACACGCCTCGAAAGCTTTCTCCCGAAGCGTTTCTCTAGCGATATGTCTCTATCTAAACATGTATCTGATAAGCTTACATCTCTCCATAGCAACTACAAAGTTAAGATCTTAATCAACTTGCTCCGAAAGACATTTATTTGTGGTATACAATTTTCGTTTTTCTACTTTTCTTTCTTCCCCTGGCCACCGTACATGAAAATATAAACAAAATTGTAACACACGCACACACCACACACACACCTCAATTCCGGTAACGATCAATCAATCAATCAATCAATCGAACGTAGACCTGTCCAGTATTTCCACTTGCCCTGGCTACCGGCGGTCTACATGCTGGTATCTCAGGCTTGGCGGATCCTTTGTTAAAGGGGGCACATTTACAAGGAGCGGTACCAGCACACCACCATCACCTACAGCAAATGCCCGATGTGAGTTTTTAGCTATCGATGCGAATTCGGTTTAAACAAAAAATAAATAAATAAATATCACCAGAAAAAAAAAAACACAATCTCCAACAGACTCTGGAAAGAAACCGTACTCGTGTCTAACCAAATATAATCAAACGCAACATGACCCGAGAATCCACCTCCGCTAGGCAGAGCATGTTGCTGTACCGCCCCCGGAACCCTGACCCCAGCCTGCACCCGTATTACCTGACCATACACTCGCAGGAAATTATGATGAATGTTGAGCTTAAATTACCAAGAAAGAGCTTAACTTCAAGGCTTCTTGGCACTGATTAAAATATTTTAATATTTAAAAGTAACATCTTTATTGTTAACCTAAATTCAAATTTGATTTAAATCTCTTCAAGGGCCATAATTCATAATTTTCCTCCGAGTGTAGATAGTTGTGTTTCGTACGTTTGCTGTTGTATTTCTTCCCCGTAGCCAACTCCTTAGTAGCCCCTAGTTCCGGTGTTTTTTGTAGCTTGTGTACACCACCCAGTTTACTACCTCTGGCATTTCTTTTACGATCCCCCGTCGGCATAGCTGCTGCTGGCCGCCTTTCAATGACATTAGCATTGGGCCAACTGCAACTCCGGGTCCGAGTTCAGGTCCCTGAAGTCGTTGCCGCCACAAAGTCAGTCGTTGGCCGCCGTGGTCGTCGCACTAAAAATCAGGCGGCCGAAAGGGACTTGGAAGCGAACCCTTTATCCCAGCGAAAAGTCATCAACAAATGCACTTTACGGGTTCCTTAAAACACCCCAAACCCACCGCTTTCTCTCTTTTCGTCTTTCCCCCAATATTGTTAAAGTTTTTTGTAGTTTTTGGAAAATTGTTTCAACTTGTTTTCCATCTGAATTTCTCTGTCTGTGTGTATGCGCTTAGTGTGTGTGTGGCAAAAAGTGTTTGTTAATATGCCAACACACACAAGTTTTTATGACAGTTTTTGCCAGATAATCCATTGTTGTCACCCCCCCCAAGTCCCGCACCCCAACCCCTTTGCTCTCCATCTTTGCCACTGTCTCTGAACTTTTTATTGAGTTGCAATTCATTTTTGGGTCATAAAATATTTCCATGGCGCATGTTTTATTTGTTTCATTTGAAATTCGTATTGCATTTTGATAAATATTTCAGTTTTTGTTTCCTAAGCTTCCCCCTCACAGATATATACACACAAACACACAAATGCAGACAGAACTACACACAAGTACACAAAGCATTTCAATATTGTATGATTTATATTTGAGATTTTCTCTATTCATTTTTTTGTGTGCGCTCTGTTCTAGTTTTATCCACCTCCCAAAGCCCAGAACTCAGACCCGACCCACTCACCCCGGCCACCCCTTTTCCTTTTAGCTGCATTCAGATGCATTTATTCGAAACTTATTTGCAAGTGTGTTGCATTTGATTTGATTAATTTATAAAGCGCGTGCATAGTCCCCCCGTCCTCCTTCTGTCCGATCCCCCATTTCGAGCCCTTATATAATATATATGCACACGTTGGCGTGCGTGTGTGCAGTGTGTGTGTATGTTATTTGCTGTAGGTGTCATTGGTGAAAAATGAGTGAAAAGGAAACCAGATGAAAACCAAAAGAACTTGAGAATGCATAGCATTTTGCCCAGAGGAAGGACATTGTAACCCAGATTTGGGAGCAATACATCATAAAAGCACTAAAGTTTAAGCATAGATTTGAAGAAGTCTGCAAAAGATTGAGCTTAAAATGGTACTTAAAGGGGTCAGAGATTTGAAATCGCTAGTTGAGGCACCTAAAAGTATGCTGTAGAAAATGTACTAAAATACGTGTTAACATTAACAGAATTAGCTGTGGATTTTAAATACAATTAAAAGGCTGTCGAAAAGTATGCTTAAACTTATCAAAGCAACTTGTGTTAAAAAACATAGCATACTTTTGGACACTTATTTAAGTGTTTTTAAATCCTTTGGCTCTTTATTACAAGCAGATTCAGTTTAGTTGAGAGATTAGTTGTATCCTTTGTAAATTTATATCTCTGTCACTCTCTTTTGCTATCTCCAACCATCTGTATCTCTACCTTTATATATCTATCTATCTATATATCTTTTGTAAAGCCAACTTTGTAAATTGTGTAGTAACCATAAAAAAGTTAGACAGCTGAGAAACCAGAAAACCGACTCCTTACATACCAGCTTACACTGCACAAAAAGACTCTCACACACACCTTACATACACACACACTCACTGTGTCGAAAATTCCTGCCTTCATGTACAAAGAGAAATACGATCCCTACTCCACTCTACATTCCATTCGATGGTGTTTTGTAAAAAGAGCTGAAGACTAAGAGAATATAAACTTGTAACTCCCGTTTGCGTTGGCTTATTGCATTCCGTTTTTTTGTTACTATTTGTTTGATGCTTTTGCGTTCCTGTTTCCCCATTTCCGTTTCCGTTTTCGTTCCAACTCCAATTACCTTTTGTTATGTTCCTGTTACTGGAAGTTGTGCGCTGTGCGTTGTGTTGTGATCTTCTGATCTCCATTCCCGACCCCCGAATACAGACCAAAAACCCCGACCCCTGTGCCCCGCCCATTAATGAATAATTCTAGATGATAAATAATACCCTGTATACCTGTATACATATATATTTATACACAAAAACACACACACATACACACACCTTAACCCACGAAGCCCTCAAACCTCTGACTCTTGCGATTTCGATTGATAGCGATTAAATCTAAACTAACTAAAGTCTTATATCCCCGACGAACAGGTGGCCAAGAACCCGCTGGCCAGTCTGGCTGCCTTGGGCCTGGCCGGGATGAATCCGGCCAGCACTGGGGGCATCAACCACACAGGTGAGTTGAGCGCTTCTGCGGCCAGATGCCAGACAGATTTTCAATCTAATCTAGGCTCTGCCCCAGCAGCCCTGGCTGCACTGGCCGGGTCGCAACTGCGTACAGCGAATCCAGCGAACCGAGCCCAGCAGCAGCAGCACGAGATGACCGTCTCCAATGACCTGATCGGCTGCATCATCGGCAAGGGCGGCACCAAGATAGCCGAGATCCGTCAGATCTCCGGCGCCATGATCCGGATCTCGAACTGCGAGGAGCGCGAGGGTGGCAACACCGATCGCACCATCACCATCAGCGGCAACCCGGACTCGGTGGCCCTGGCCCAATACTTAATCAATATGAGGTGAGTGTTGCGCCATCGATCGGATCCCTCGGATCCCTCTTAGCCCTTTCACTCGGATCTGATCTGATCTCTGCCTCTGTTCTGTCTATCTGTTTGTGTGAATGTGTAAATGTTGATGTACATCTAAATGTAAACGTAAATGTAAATGTAGTGTTGTTTCTCCGCGTGAATTGTTGTCTAACATCAATTTTGTCGAATTGACTTGCTAATTGACAAAGAACAAAAAAGAAAAAGCAATAAAAGTGAAGGTATAAGGAGGTCTTCGTCGGTCGTAGGTCACCTCTCAGTCGCGGAGTGGCGGTGGCGGTGGTTCAAACAATCAAAAGGTGGTTCCATTAAGACCATTGAGACGAGGCCCCGGGGAGGTGGGTAGGATGATCATATGGCCCCGACAGGGGTGAAGCGGGGATTAACACGAATCCGTAACTTAAGTCATACACACAAACATGTCCTAGCCTGTAAGTCGTAAGCCCGGCAAAGCCAAGTCACAAAAAGGCCGAAAGGCCCACAACTAGCACCAAAAACTCTCTCTCTCTCTTTGTCTCTTATAATTCTCCACCCTCACACCACCCCCCTAGATCGTAGTTCGCATCGCTAGATCGCGCTAACCAAACTGTTCTAGCTAATAGAAACTATAAACTATCTCTAACTGTTAATTAAAACCTAGCATCTAGTGTTACCAAGCAACCAAGCAAAACATCCTTGTGTAATTATTATGCAACAGCAGTGCAGCAGGATGAGCAGGAGGCGGAGGAGGATGGTTATGAGGCCAGGCCAGCACCGAATTAATCTACGCATCACAACGCACACTTTTCACACAACCGACCAATGACAAGAAATCGAAAATCGAACAGCGAATATCGAATATATAGAGAATATCGAAAAAATCGAAATCAATCGAACCGAAAAAAGGGAACAAACAACAAACGAAAAGAAAATATAAGAAAAGCTAAGCTGGACCTGATCCAATTGGTACTTCAAACTGCAGTTCAACTCCAAAATCGATCCAAAAAAAAACCCCTTTCTCTTTCTCTTCCCGTCCAAATATCAAATCAAACCGACCAAACCGAATCCCCCACCAAGTCCACCACCTCGTCCACCACCACGTTCATCCTCCAAAAACCAAAGCAAACAAACAAATAATACTCTTTCGGTCCACGCCTCCCCATTTTCAAAAAAGAGAACAACCAACAACAACCGCTCACCAAAAGTTTTCTAATCCTACCATCCAAAATTTGAACGCCGCTCTCCTCCCACCAAAAATACCCCCCAAAAAAATAATCGCTGAAAAGCCGCCCTTCTTCTTTATCTCTCTCTCTCCGCAAACTCCGAACCGTTCCTCCACACAAAACCTCCTTAACCTTTTGCATATAACAAAACACGAAAAAAAGAGTCGAGAAAAAATGCAATAAAAACCAACTCAATTCCACAAAATCGAAAAAAGAACCAAATGTTTTGAAAATACCTCTCTCTATCACCTGCCTAAAAAAATACCAAAAAAAAAAAAAAAAAAAAAAAACGAAAGAAAAAAAAAGAAATAAGAAACCGAAACAAATACCAAACAATATCCCAATTTGTTCCTTTCTTTCTCTCTCTCTTTCTATCTACCCTAACCGAACCTCATCCACAGTGTTGAGCTGCAGAAGGCCAATCTCCTGGAGCAGGCCCAGGCCCAGCAGAATGGCGGTGCTACCGCCACCGCCGCCGCCGCTCCCGGAGCGGCTGCTGCCGTCGCCGGAACAACTGCGATCGCCGGAGCAGCCGGAGCTCCGCCGGCTGGCACCAATGGAGCCCTCACAACAGTAACCCTAACTGGCGGAGGAGCTGGCACTGGCACTGGCGGAGGTGGTGCCGTTGGACCGGCTGCCGCAGCCGCCGCCAGCAATGGTACTGCCACGGCAGCCAATGGCGGCACCACCAACGGCAGTGTCTCCGCCGTGGCCGCCGCCGCAGCAGCTGCTGCCGCCGGCTATGCCAGCGCTAATGGCAGCCAGGGAACCAATGGAACCGTTGGCGTTAATCCAGCAGCCGCCGCTCTATCCAGTCCTTTGGCTTCTGCTCTACAGCTGCTCACAAAGCCGGGAGCTCTGAGCGCCCTGTCCAACCTAAGCGCCCTCGATCTGCTTAACCTGACCACGCTGGGCAGCAACGGTGGCGCCGGCACTCCAGGCGGACCGCCAGTGCAGACGACGGGAGTGAACCGTGCCAAGGGCCACTATGCCACCTCAAGGTTCCGTCAGCATCAGACAGAGACCGGCGGAGAGGCGGAGAAGCCGCGCAATAAGTTCAATCCGTACTAGGAATAGGAGCAGGAGTCAGGAGCCACGAGTCGGAGCTGCAGCAGCCCGAGAGGAGTCAAGTTATAGTCGCTTAGTTTTATAGGATTCCCATGATAGCGTTGCGAAAGCTTTAGCTTTAGCGTTTAGATATTCTTGAAGAAGAAGCAAAAAACAAAAATTGTATAAAAATTCGGTTTAAAAAGATGAAAAGATTGTGGCTGCGGCCAGCAAAAGTATTGGAGATTTCAAGACAATTTTTACATCTAAAAAAAGTAACCCCACAGCGATCCCATTCAATATTTATGAAAGAAACTAACCAAACTACAATAACTACAGTAAACAGTCACACTTAGAACGTGCTAGATGTAATCGTTCAATAATCAATCGATCAGAGTCAGAATCAGAATCAGCATCAAATCAAACCATATATGGTGTATCGTATCGAATATATATAGGACCGAGTCGAGATTTTTTGACCAAGTGACCAAGGACCGACCCTAGTGGGCGCTCGCTATAGATTTTGGACCCCAAAAACTTTTTGATAAACGCCTAAACTAAACTTATATATATATATATATACATACAAGCGAATATGTATCGTACATAATATAGAATTTGCCAAATTTTAGCGCATCCCTAGTAGCGTTCTCCTTAGATTAGAGATTAGATCGCGAATATCGAGTATGTAGAGCAGGTACCGAGCATTAAACTTAGCCTCAGCAGCCAACAATCTTTCCCCCAATCAACAAGCCATTCATTGTAACATATAACACACGCTCCAATATCTTATAAATCCATTGTGTACTCTCTTAGCTTCTAAGCACTAAATGTATTTTTTCCCCATATATATATTTACGAGATATAACCTTAAGCATAAAGACCCAAAAAAGCCATTTGTCGGGAGGCAGAAAGCAGCCCTAGCAGCAGAAAGAGAAGAGTTAAGTGAAGCAGCAGGCAGAAAATATGAAGTGAAATGAAAGAACCTTCTATAAGAAGTTTACAAAAGAAAAGAAATTCCAATGCGTTGAGAACCCGCCCGGGAGTCCGAAGATAGGGCGCGACACGATGTGCGACCGGGGGATCAACGACCTTTATGGACCAATTCGCTCTAATTGACGCAATCCACGCAATGAGAAGCGTACAAAAAGCCAACTAACTATTTGAATAGAAAAACGAAATGAAAAGCACATGGAAAAGCCAAGGGAAAGGGCGGATTTAAAACCGATGAAAAGGAAGAATAACGTTATCATGTATTAGACTTTAAGTCTTCGATTGTTTATGGAACTTTTAGTTTTTTTTGTTAGTTTTTACACTTTATACATTTACCCTCCTGAAATTCCCCAAAATTTGTATTTATTATAATGCGATTGTAAATTTTTATTGTTATTATTTTTAACCAAAAAAAAGGATAAAAATGCGAAAATAATGTTGAACAAGTATTTGGAAATTGAAATTTCTCTAACCTAAAGTACATGGAAAGATAATTGTAGCTACGTTATAAAGTTATACTTGATATGATTTCTCTTATTATTATATTATTATTACTATTATTACTTTACACTTAGCTGTAGTTTGTAAGCGAGACAAGTGACACACATTATGTAATAACACAACTTAAGCTAAGCGGGCTTACGATTTTATAACCAAATTATATTCCTAACTATTCATACATACATCTCTACATACATACATACCTTACATACCCTACATACCCTACATTCATTACATACCCTACATTCATTACATACCCTACATACTTATATTATGCCACAAAATAATAACACAAAGGTAGAACAAACTAAAAATTCGAGTAACGTAAATACATACATACATACATACAATACAATGTATTCAATGTAATACTACTTCTTGACATTAATACACAGAAAATAGACAAAAAAAAAAAAACACACCTAGAAAAGGCTTTACCTGTAGAAGAACAGCAAGAACAACATCAAGCGAAAGGAACATTAATAATAGCGACATAAAAACCTACATATTTATATGCAATGAAGAAAACAATGATGGAAACTACATACATGAGTTTGTAATAAAGTGAAAAATGAATACTAAAATAGAGTTCACTAATGAGGGATTTCAAGGGGTTGTGCCAAAGATCGTGTAGTAACAAGATGAGTAACGCCATACAATTTTCGTGCTTGGTTAAGGCTCTCTTAACAAACATTCTAGATATATAAGGACACTTACGCACTTGCTTTACGCTCTCAACGCCAGCAGAAAAATTGCTTTGATATTACAATTTAAATGTATGGTTGTTACGCATCTTGTTATTACAAGTTCATTCTTCTAAGGATTAATGGGGTGATCTACAAAAACATTTTTAAATTAACGAAACATTTAATACCAACTGCATCTTTACGATTTTTCAGAATATCCATGGAGACTGCTGGTCTGCCCATACCCGGTTATCACTACATTGCGCCCAGTGCAATTGTTAAAACACCCATTCACTAAATGCAAACAACAATCAAGCAATAAACAACAGCAACTGAAAATCGAGGAGTATGAGGAGGAGGAGGAGGACAAACTGCAACTGGAGGACAACACCAAGCAGGAGCAGGCAGCAAAATGAAACGTCAAATGTTAAATCATAAGCAATATATAAAACAGAAACCAGAAACATCTGCAACATCAAGGGGAGATCAGAGGAAGCAACCATATATCATATATGACAATGTCAGCAGCAATCACACTTTGAATTCATAACACACACACACACTCACGCGCGGAGAGACGGAACCATAAAATGCATACACGTTATATTTATTCATTGATTCTTATTAATTATATGATACTTTTTCATTAAGTTTTAAATGCAAAGGGCAAAACAAATACCACAACAAGAACTTTTATGTTAAACCGTTTTCGCGGAGGGCTTTCGCCCCCCCCAAAAGTAAGAACAGAACAGCAATTAATTGTAAGATTAGTCAAAATGAAGACAAAATAAACAAGCAAGAAAATATTTAAAAAATCAATTAACCACGTAAACATGAAAGCAAGAAGACGAGTAAAAGAAAAAGAAAGGCAGAAAGAAAAATTCATAATGCAGTTAATTCTAAGCCAATGTTTTGTGCACACAAGCATGACCAAAAAAAAAAGAAAAAATAACAAAGAAGGAAACATCAAACAAACAAAAGCAAACAAGAGAGGAAACAAAAGGATTTAAATTTAGTAAGGAAACGAATACGAAAGAGACATTGAACAGACAGGCAGAACAACCAACAAACAAGCAAATCAAGCAAGCAAAGACAGAAAGGATGATTAAATTATAATTACGGCCAATTGCATCGAGATAATTGCGTTTGTTAGTTGTTTGTGTTCATATATGTACACACATAAATATATATTATATATAGACACGGCGATATATTGATACGATAATTTTTTATTTTATTATTTCTATTATGGTAATTGTTATCGAAATTGTATTTGTGATTTTTGAATATGTTTAGACTGATGTGCAAAATTGATTCTGTTTATTAATTACAAGTAAACTACGACGTACGCATATATAAACGATTATGGACTATAATTACTAGTTATCCCTCTCTTTCGTTCTATCCGCTTTCTAAACCAAATTACTCATTTATTCAAAATTAGTTTTAATTCCAACAAAAAAAAAAAAAAAAACAACTGAAGAGACAAAAATCGAACTAGCAAAGGGATTTCCAATTGTGAATTAACATCAATTATAATTACTATTATCAAAATTGTTGTAGTTTCTATCGTTTCGGTTTAAATAGCGAAAAGGAAAATGCCAACTGCTGAATGGTAACAAACAAACACACATATTTAATCTACTTACAAATTAGTGAAATCAATTCGAATTACAATAATAATTTTTAAGCACATTTTTTGTGGCGATTAAAAAGACTTTTTCTGGAGGCGTGTGGAAAATATGAGAAATGGATTTAAACATTATATTACAATTATGCTTAAATTAAAGTATAATTTTAATTTATTAGCTGTTAAATTTATACGCAAAACAAAACTAAAAAAAAAACAACAACAACAAACAAAACAAAACATAAAAAACCAATCACAACAAAAGAAAACATCAAAAATAAACTGATTTTCAATGTTAAAATTAAATTAATTTTATTCGAATTTAGTTGCTAGGCTGGGCAGTAAAAACAAAACATGAATATATGAATGACAAGTGTGGTGATTAATTTTAAGATCATTCAGTTGCATACACACTAACTCACAGTACTCACAGTACAGTAGGGCCTCTGAATGGTGTCAAAACACGAAGGCTAAGGTGAAAGCGAGAGCATCAGCTTGCCAAATGTGGCAGAATGTGTCAAATTTTATTCTACATATTAATTATTTAGTAAGACGACTTATCAAAGCATAAAGGAAACAAAACAAGAACATATCCACTGCAAAAGAAAACCAATCTAACCACAATTTATATTATATTAACCAACACACACACACACACACAAAATACAGAAAGAAGTAACAAAATATTAAACCGAACATATAGAGGCAAACATATCCCAGAGAACGCAATGCATGTATCTATCTAGGAATATCTCTATGATTTCTATCAATATATCCTTTACCACTCGTATCATCAGTCATAAGAAACCTTAAGTTGTATCACTTATCCCTACTGATGACGGAAAATATCGAAATTTGTTTGATATATCGGTTTAATATTATCGGTAAGACAGACAAAATGCAACTTTTGTTGATATTTTTCGATGCTGTCGATATTTCAAAGTTAAGTGCGATATCTAAAATTTCGATAAGTCAAAGTTTACGATATTTTTGTCGATATATCATCCATTTCTCGATATACATCCCTACTCATTACTCACTTTGCATCTTCCGCTCTCGCACCAAAAGAGGAAGAAAGACAAACTTATGAGACAACCAAACTTGATTACAGGAAATTGTTAATAGCATAAAAAGAGGTAATACTATAAATGAGCAAGCAGACATATAAACTCAATAGGAGACGACGGACGAGCCAGGGCCCCAGGTGTTAGCTCCACTTACTCGAGGATCAAGCAGCTGGCAGGCGACGACGGATAAATGATATCATGTGCGAAACTATTTCGTGATTTTAGTGACAAATATATATATATTTCGCTGACGACAAACAATTTGAAGCAATCATTTTGAAATCAAGAACTTCAGTTCCCCAGGGGAACGGAAAATGAAAAATAAAAAATATTAAGATGATGAGGAGGATAAATGAGAAATCAGAGGAGGAATCAGTCAAGAAACCGTATATCTATATATAAATAAATTATATAAATATACATAAATTAAATATATATAATTATTATTATTATTATTATGTACACTTGTATTTAAATGTATTTGAAATATTTAGTAAATTTTTTGCGCAAGTTACACAAGAAAAAAGAAAAAAATAACAAAGAAAAACACTAAAAAAATGAGATGAGAGATGACGACGACGACGACGAGGGCTATATGGCGGCTACGGAGATAGACGGGTCAACAGCGGGTAACTGGGATTAATAATAAATAAATTAAACGCAAAGTACATAAATGAAAAGGGATAATTACATTATGTATGTATTGTATGCGTGTGTGTATAAGAGAAATAGCTCAAAAGGAATTCACAAACAATTTTTACTTAATATGCGTGTAATTAATGTAATTATTAACGACATTTTTGTTGACAACTTGTAAATTTGCAAAGGAAAAATACGTGTAAGAAAAGCAATTTTAATGGTGCCTTAAAAACCAAACCAAGCAAATTTCTTCTAGCCTGCCTTGCCTGCCCGCCCCCCTCAGCGCACTCAGTAATTACGAAACCAAGAAACAAAATCTAATAATAACTGGATGGCATGTGAGTTTCCACTCCTTTCTAACAATCCTTTCTGAACAATCTTCCCGCGCGAGCTCCAGTGCTCTCAGCCCGGATCGGATCCGGCGAGCACTCGACCCGCACCACTTAGTTAAAGATGTGTTACTGTTTTTCGACATAAGAACTTCTCCCTTTTAGCGACGAACCACAATCGCTCAAAAGCTATCCTCCGAGTCCTTGCGGAGAGTTGCCCGCTACACTCGATTCGGATACGGTTGACACCACAACACCGATACGATACGATACGATACCGAACTTAGCTGCAGAAACACTGCAACTGACCCAAGAGAATATCACCAATAATTAGCCCGACAGCGAGAGAGAGAGCAGAGAATATATACCCAGGACACGAAGAAACATAATATTCAATTGTACACAATACACAGCAAAGCAAAAAAGAAAGACACACATATTAATGTTTCTCTCAGTGTAATTAAAAACGTCACTTGAATGTATTTGCTCACATTTTTACAATACATGTCGAAAACAACAAGAACTCTACACAATAAGCAACAAACGTAAAAGCATTTAAGGCACTTGATCAGTCTCGAATGAACGATGGAAATGGATCATTGGGTGGATATGGAAGCAAGATCATTGTTAAAAAAAAAAACGCAACTGTAGAAAAAGATTATGAAACAAAACAAAATATAAAAAAGGTATAAAAGAAAACGAAAAAAAAACATATTTATATACATATATAAAGCAAAAATGGAAACTTTACATTAAGGTATTTTAGATATTCTTATTTAATATCCAGAAAACAAGACAAGAAATTATACGAGCAGAGTTTTAATTTAGAGCAGAAGGAGAGAGAGAAACTTGGAGATGGTGGAGATCATCGGGTCTAAGTAATGAACAAAAAAAATATATGTATGTACGTGTATTTAACTAACTAAATATCGGTGTTAGAATCGTTAAGTAAATTCTAGTAGTCTGCGCAAGGCGAGATCAGAGATGGACGGGAGAAAGAGTGTAAAAGCAATGATAATGCAATGAATAAGATGCATAACGCTTATACATTTTAGTTACAAGCTGTTTTTGTGCTAGCAACGGTATACGTTTGGCGTTACGCATCTTATTAATAACATTAACTTTGCTGAGAGGGTCGCTTTCTCTACCGATTCTACGCGCTGTTACGTTACTTACTATACATACCGATTATTTTGTTGCCACATTATCACACTCACACCGAGAAGGGAGGGG